TGCTGCATACTTAAATTTTGATTTTATATATAGTTTCTAATGTTGTTTTATTTTATATACATGATACACAACTCGTTTTTTAAATAATGAAATTATAGAAGAATAATTTTCTTTTTAAAAATGCGAATTCTTGAAAAAATAATTATTTTGAACAATAAATGTTTTGAGACTAATAATAAATGGTTTTCTATAAACAGGCGGTTTGTGTTGTTTATACTTATTGCACTTAAGCTTCTTGTTCTTTCTTTTTTCATCGCAAATATATCTATTTTGCTTTAAATTAAAAATTCTAAGCAACGCGAATCTAATGTTTTAATGTAATAAAATCTGTTAGAAAAGTAAGGATAATAGAATATAATTTTTTTTAATTTCAAATGAAACAAATACTTTTTATAAATAATACTTTTATAAATAAACAAAAACTTTTTTTTAGAAAGAGTTATTATATATTAAGAATATGATAATTGAATTGAATTTATAATTTAAAGCTCTCAAAATTTATAAAATTTATTTATTTATTTATAAATTTATTTATTTATTTGTAAAATAAAAAAATCACAAATACTTCACAATTATTAAAACTTAATATATGTTTAATATACTTTACAATAAGTCCTGCTTCATTATTACTTATGAATGAAAAGAAACAACTATTTTCTGCAGAATAACTTATTCTACAAATAACACACTTTCGAACCATTATTTCTTTTCAGAAATATAATGTGATATTCCTATCAATATTTCGCAATTACAATACTCCGCAAATAACGTATAAATAATCTCTCAAACTTTTCTTTAACTTGCATAAGTATATACCAAAATGCATTAATGTATAATATATGTCAAACATGCGCAAAACGTATTTCCGGACACTTTTAGAAAAAGAGAGACATTTCTCTTTTCAACCTCCCGCGGCTATAATCATATTTGCATTACCAGTCCACACATATAAGATCTATGGACCAATGAGGATGGTGGAACAAATAGCCGGCCATATTAATATATTAGTCAATCAATGTTTTTCTCGCGATATTCAAAATGTAGTATAAATAAGGAAAGGACAATTAATGAATTTATTTAATTGAGAACTATTATTGTGACTTTTATTATTAATAATTATTAAATTTTCTATTATCAAATCACATGTCACGTAATCACAAATTTGTTTATTTTACTATTATTTTTCAATATGGAAGGCTATTTGTTTCAACGCCATATCTGCGCAGACTGGATCCAAATTGGGTCTACTTGACGAGCACACCTAGTCTCCTTATATCATGGTTGGCTGGGTGGGGCCCGTTTGACCACCAGCCATTCATAATGTTTGAACAGAGGAAAACCTCTAGGCACTGACCACTATGAGTGGCTATGGTCAATCGCAACGTGATCAAATGGGATGCTCCCGGTTGGCTTCATCTCCTTTTGTCTAGGTATTGGATTTATGTCTCATTTCTATGTCTCATTTCTCTGTTCTTATATCTATGATGAAAGAGTGTTAAGTCCTAATTAGACAATTGAAAAAATTGAAGATCACGCAGTTCTGAAGGCACGATTAAAATTATCAAACAAAAGACGAACGATGAACAAAATTGAGAAAATCTTCAAAGACATTTACTACGACCAATTCAAATGGTGGGTTTAAAAGAAATTTATTGTTTATATCACTAGTTAGACGATTAATAGTATCTTGATATAACCTTCTAATTGATTCTCTGGGATGATACATAGCTAAATGCGACCAATTGCAAGTTCAAATCTAGCTTTCATCCTATAATTCTAATTTATGAGACACGTGATTTCACAATTTTTGTGAGTTTCCTATGAAAATAAAAGATTGAGTGCATAAAACACTTGAATTAAAAGTCAGAAAAAAGGATTAAAAGCAAATAAATACTCGAAATAAGTTTAGAGTCAAAATGTCAAGTTACATATACCAATTCTATGATTAACTTAATCAATTGATTAAATTTATGAATTGCCAACATCAAAATTTTTAAATGTTGACCTATGTGCTAATTTTTAGCAATTAAAGAATCGTAGTTATTGCCACGTGCATATCCATACAGTAGAAATATTCAAACTACGTCATCTCTCGTGCAAGTGTAGCAGGTGACATTGAATAAAAAAGTCCTATACTATTTTGTGATTTTCGTAATAATTAAAAAGTTATTAATTTATACAGATTTGAATGAACAAATTTTCATACAAAAGAATGTCTAGCGTTGTGTATGCTTACAGTTGCTACAGTTGTTACGGCGCGCAACAATTATTTAGAGATGTATTTTATGAATAGATATTTTGTCATTTATTATATTCAAATTTTTATGAATAGATATTTTGTCATTTATTATATTCAAATTTTTTGCGCTTCGCGTTTAACAACTATAGATGTACCTAGCGTTGAGCTGTTCCTCTGCACGAATATTCGTTTATTCACGGATCTGTATAAATTAATAATTCCAGTTATTGCGAAAATCGCAAAATAATATAAAATTTTTTTATTCAATCTGCTCTACCTGCTCATGAGAGGTGATATAGTTACTGAGCATCTTGTACATGTCACAACAGTATTATTTTTTTATGACTACTAAAAAATTAGATTAGAAAGGATTACTTTAAGTTAATCACTTAAAATTTTACAGTTGACAATTCGTAAATTTAATCAGCCGGTTAAGTTAATCATAGATGGTGAAATTAACCCATAACAAAAAAAGGAACATTGTATATTATATAATCTAAATGGACAGATTAAAGACATATTAAAAATTATCCAGTTTAAAATGAAAAAAGGATTTCCAAATTACTTTATTTTAATTTTTAGTTTTTTAGTAATTAAAAATATTAGATGCCTAAGATTTTCCTACTTGTGGAGTATTACCATATTAATATTTGTTGTTTGAACATATTCTGAGCTATATTCTTACATATATTAGATTGTTTTAATTAATTGTTGAAGAAGGTTTCTAATACTTTATTATAAATCTAATAATTAAACTGCCGTTATAATAAATTATTTTTCTGTAACTAAGATCTCATTTACACAACTCATTTATTTAGATTATAATCGTAGCAACTAATACTCTTACTACAAATATTTTCCATATGCACTTATTTGTTATATTTTTGTAGCATATATAAATATTTCATATTAATATTTTTCTTAATAGGTCAGTAGTGAAAAATATTGCTTTTTTTGCCATCGGTGTCAAGATCGCCATCGAATGCAACGGAATGACTCTTATGCCGCCAGTCCCCACTTAACTCATGAATCTATTATATCTATTATATTTTATAGGGTCTAGAAAAGTAATTTTTTTCTAGTCTCTAATTGATTTCTAACTGAAGAGTCAAAGTAGTCATTAGAAGAAAACTGTTTTTTGCGTTTTGCGTACCAGTTATAATTATTGCAGGAATACATTTGACTTTGTTTATATTGTATAAATATTGTATGTATATTGTATATTGGATTTTGAGATAAGATGTTGATTTTTTAATAAACAATATTTATACATATAGGGACATAATGCTTTCTCGCATAAAATTGTAACAATCGATATGCCGACGAATTGAAACAATCAATATGCCTCACTTCTAAATGTTTATACATTATCACTTAATTATATTTTTGATAATGTTATTCCAATATATTTCCAATATATTTTGAGACAATAATATACTTTAAATAAATAATAATGATAAATAATAATATCATAATATAAATAATAATGAAATAATAATGAATATATTTTGTTACATTGTGTCTTCATCCGTAAGCTTAATATTTTAGTATTTTAACCTAGGATTGAACCGTTTATATATATATTCAGTTTCAAATAGATAGTCAATATAAATTACAATGCAAATTTTTCTTATTTATTTGATTGTAGTTTAAATAAAGACAAAACAAAATTAAAAATTTACATACCGTCTATTCATTATTATTAAGTATTGTAGATATCGATGGATCAGTTTACAAGGAAAACGATATTGATAGGATTCATTGTATATATTACAGAAATAATTTATTAATTTATTTAATTACAAGTAAAAATATCATGAACATACAATACACATTTAATATATATTTTATATCTTAAATATTTTTAAATTATGCTTTTTATTTTTAAATAAATATTTAAAAGACATTTGAAAGACGTTTTAAAACAGACCTTTGTAAGACTTTTCTAAAGGCGTTTTTACTCTATAGTACTAAATGCTTTTACTCATAATACACACTTCTAAGATATTCTAAGATATTATAAATCTTATAATACTGGATACACCTTCTGATCGAAATTGGGGTCCGAGTTGATAGAGCGAGAGAATAATATATTGCATCATTCTTTATCGTGTACTTTCAAAAACCGAAAGATAGAAAATACTACACATCATATTTCTTTCCATCTAAAGGAAAAGGTGTATCTAGTATCAGAGAGAAGCCTGAGTGGATATGACCGCGTTTTAACTGCAACCTTATTCGCGTAGGTAATGTCCACGATTTTGTGGTTCTCTTCCGTGCTAAACACAAGAGTGATAAAGACGGACAGTCGTGTCCATATCATCCGTCTTCAATTGTTCATTGAGAATTTTATCTACTAGATACATTGTTACCATATGCCTTCTTAACGCGAATCAAAAACATATTAAAGATTTAATCCGATTATGTTTATATCGAATAATATTAATTAAAAAACAGCTAGAATAAAAATGTATATATATGTGTGTGTGTATATATATATATATATATATATATATATATATATATATATATATATATATATATATA